CTTGGATAGTTTTTGCTGAAAGCTTGGGGTATAAAGGAGAAATGAGGAGGAGATAAAGTAAAGTTCATACTCACTCAGCATAGAAAGAATGAGAAAGACAAATAGAAAGAAGTGCAGACAGACAGAGAATAAAAACAGCTCGGCACAGGCTACCACCTCGTGCTTGCTAGTGCGAAGCTCACCATCAGCTCCGTTGTGTCTTTTGCGTTTGTCTCCAGTGCAAGTTGTGTTTTTTTTTTATTCAGAGGTGCGACAGCCGAAAAAGAATTTGGAGCAATTTTCAGAGCAGTAAAATGTTACTTGGAGCCCTAAAATTTTAATCCTCAGCAGCTTACAGGAACAAAAATCTTTTTTTTTCATCACGAAAGACCGAATTTGGAGCAGTATCAAAAAGAAGGCTTGCATTTTGAAAAAAAAAAAAAGTACAAACCATTCAACGTCCCCTAAAACGTGCAGAGTGAATATGAGCACTGCTACTTTAATAAAAAGTATTTTGAACCACTCTACTCAGCAAACAATGATGAATTCTACATTAGCATTTGCCATGCCACTCAAATACTTTGACAGACTCTGAGAATTCAAATGTGGATCAGCCAAGTTGGTGACCTTAGGATGGCAAAAAGAAAAACATGCACACAGTTTTAATTTTTCAGGGCTGCAAAAATGCTATGCAATGCTCCAAATTATTGTCAGCAACCTTTTTTAGATGTCGGCAATCATACTAGTACTCACAATTATGTAGCGTATACACACATGAGTAACTGAACGAACTGTGCTGTGTCCTGTGACTAATGCTAACAGCCCCTTCTGAATCTTCAATCACTTTTCCGCAGGCCATCGGTGTACTGCGGCGAAGGTAGCCTAAGCACCGCCTTGCATGGTTAGAACAAAGTCAAGAAATTTTCTAACCGCTACAGCTACCCCCCCACCCCTTTTTTTCATCATGGAGTTAGATTTAGGGCATAACTCTTCAGCTCGCTTGTAAGGCGCATTTGGCTAGATAACGTAACACTGGCACATGCCCGTTAGCTCGGAGATGGCATCGCGTATCTGCCATATGTGCCGTTGCTATGGCAACCAATGTGGTCACCGGCAACACAAGTGTTTACGGCACATTGAGTTGGTTCACGCGCAGTAACAGTAGCATACACTTCCAACTTTAGTTCCTAACATGCCATAACCGCGTTTGCCGACTAGGGTACTCATATTTGTCACAAAGTGCTGCAGGCTACGGCAACATATTTTTGTCTTGAAGGTGCGTCATATCCGCTGCAATCAGCGGATTGATGGGCGCACGGCGTTCTTACTTTATCTGGTCAGTTGCGTTTCACAAGTGTCCTGCCATGGTTTAGGGTAAGGGTCAGCACGCGTAGATCCCCAGACTGATTACGAACGCAAACTTGGGGGCCAATGTGGCCTCCATTGCTCACTGAAATTAGCGCAACTGAGAAAATTTTGAGGCTGGTCGGGCATTTTGGTGCAGCGTGGCACAATTTGGACCAATTCCAAGATTTTTGCGCAGCTCGGTGCAAAAATGGGGCCTTGTATCAAATTGGCACAATTCACGCAGCTGTAGCAACCCTGCTTTACTTATTACGCAATGCTAAATTGAATTCGATGCATGAATTGAATGTTCACGGGGAAGTTGGCATTGATTTTTTAATCTGGTCATTTGAACTCACTGTTCAAATAACGACAGTTTTCCTCACTGATGCGGCACAAGAAATAATGAAACTAAGCACGCTTTTGAGCGTTTTTCGAGTGCCGCGACTGGCTTAGCACGTGGTACGGATCGGGGACCACCATTGGCCGCTGCGCGCCTGTATGTGCTGTAAAGCGTATTTGTGGGGTTCATGTCCTGAAGAGCAGTGCAGCTGAACAATGCTTTTCTCGTGTATTTATCTCCGTTATGAATGAAAAAAGCCATTGCTCGCGCGTGAAAGCCGTTGTGGCAGCGTGTTCTGTAGGAGTAGGCTACGAGCAGCTGGTCCAATTTGCGGCAGTTGTTGGCTTGCAAAAGCCGATGCATCAAAAGTCATTCACAGCCATCAGCCAAAAAGTTCACGATGCCGCAATGGATGACGTCAACGCCAATCTTGTGAGGTCGAAGGAACTTAAAGGGGACGAGGGACGACATTGCCATTATGTACGACTGTATGTGGCACAAACCTGACAGCAAAACGGCATCCGCACTGTTGTGTCCCTCAGCACTGGACTTAAGATTTCGCAGTCCTGTCGAACTTCTTCCTAGCTTGCAGTCGGCACAAGGCTCTGCCAGATAGAGCGGAAGAAGTTTGGCAAGCGTTTCATGGCCCTGTCTGTGAGCGAAATGTCTGTGAGGAGTCGGCTTGAAGCCGAGAGGGAGAAACTTATGGTGCTGGCGTATTTTAGCGGCAGTGGCCACTACAAGAAGGATTGTTCTTTTTGGTGTGCGAATTTCATTGCATTTAATGACATCTTTCATAAATATAAACTCAATTTCAACTTCAAAACTCGTTTTTCTCAAAACACAAATTTTGCCATTTTTTCCAATGTGCCCCTCCTTTTTCGAGCACTTCTGGTGGTCGGATCTGCATAAAATTTTGCCCAAATCTTTTCCAAAGTATGACAAAGACCATTATCTACCTTAAATTTCAATATTTTATTATATATTCAGATATTTTATGCACACCTTTACTAGGTTAGGTGAAGTATGGACTTTTTTACGTGTATTATTTTTCACACCTATTACATATTTTGTATGTGCTTCCTAATTAGTTATTTGCATTTCACACTTTATTTGAAATATTACGAACTATGAATGGTAAAAAATTACGGAAGTTTAAGGATAGAAAGAGGGGGCAAAAGGGTTAAGGTTTGCACTTTGTCATGTCGCAAAGCTGAAAGTTATGCAAATTGCAAGAAAATAAATTATGTATTTGAAATCAGCATACTAAGTTCCATAAAGAGCTCAAGTTTCATTGGTCTAGGATGAATATTAAAAAACAAACTGTCTTCGAGTAGCATGTCAAACTTAAATGTTCAATAAATGTAACAATGTATAAAAACCAAATTAAAAATAAAATTGGCAATTTTTGGGTACAAAGTTCTTGGCTATTTTATGCCTTTGGCTACATTAGGGCTACAGTTTCTTTCGCTTTTGGCTACGCTACCTCGTCTGACCTGGCAACGCTGTATATAAGCGCTGCTCTTTGAGCAGAGTGATTGTTCCGTTCGGGAGACGAGAGCACACGTCCCTGCTGCCCCCATGTGCTGCTCTAGCTGCTTGTTCCCATCGCTCCTGCTCGCCCAATGGAAAGTGCTATATGCATGTGCCATCGAAGATGCCAGCATTATCACTAGCAGCCGCGTAAGTTCCAGAACAAACTGTAATGTAAGTGTTGTGCGTGTAACCTCTTCGGAAGGTTTTAAGGTTATCCAGATAGTACCCAGTCATTAGGGCACGGTTAGCACAAAGCAGCATTACACGCGTAATGGTGCAGTAACAAAAATATGGTTGAATCTCATTGATTCGAACACGCTTAATTCAAACTTCTGGTTAATTCGAACTCACGCTGAGGTCCCGTCAAAGCTATGTGTATTCCAATGGGCGCAAACGCCCTGTAATTCGAACATAGCGCGCTCCGAAAATGCTCTCAGTGCCACGCCCGATCCCGCGGCAGCATATCAGACACCTCAATGCTGTGCGTGAAAAAAAAGAAAAGCTTTGTAGCACAGCAAAGCTAGTGCACTATGGCCGCAGCATGAGGCCGTGTTCGAAGTAAACTTTTTTTATTTCCTATATATATTTTTTTTTTCCTTAGAAGGAGTTGCAAGTTAGGGGGTCGACTTATAATCAGAGTCTACTTATAATAGGCAATATATGGTACTTTTTCTTAATTTTGAAAATTAAACATCTGCTTAAGTTCAGGCACTTTTCATGTGCAATTATATTCGTTTTGCTTGTCTAGTGGCTGTCTAGCAATAATGGAGCTTTAAAGGGCCACTCACCAGGTTCGACAATTTTGAGCTGACAATGTAGTAGATGAGGCATTCACCATGACGTCTGCCAAAATTTGCAACGTTATCGCACTGCGCAAATGTGTGAAAATTTCAAGATGAACTGCTCCCCTTTTTTTTTTCGCGGGCGCCCGCCCACAGAAATGAGGGCATGACGTGCATGTAGGAATTACCCTACGCACACGACAGTGCAGATGAAGTAGGTTCTCTACATAGACGACTGTGCTCCGACGTTGCAACAGTGGCACGTGACATGACAAAAATGATATAACACGACATGCATAGCTCATGAAATTTGTTGCTTCAAAAGATTAATAAATCTTCTGATAAATAATGAGACACAATAAGGAAATGTGCATGCCTTTTTTCCTTTTTTTTTTTCGTGAATCGCTACGAGATGCGGGGCTTATGTGCCGGCGTTTTGCATCCATTCGTGTCCCCGTGTTCAACGCATCGAGCAGACCGACAGCCGTGTAAGTGAAAATAACGCTCCTAGGCGTTTGCCCACTTATTGTGCTCATCTATTCTACCATGTCTCAGCCAGCGTTTCCGAACCATCCAGCAGAAACAGGCAGCGGACCACAAAATAAATCTGGCAAAAAAAAAAAAACCCCCGCTCGCGTGCTCAGGGGTTGGGTTTTTTCGGGCACGTCATGCGCATGCAATCTTTTGGTCGGATACCAGAGAGGGCAGGGAAGAAATTTGGCTTGCAAAGGCTTGCACAGGGGAGCGACAAGGGTTTCGAGCTCGCCTCTTCTCACCCTCGTTTTGCGCCACTTCAAGAAAAAAACAGTTTCCTCAGCTTGTAATAAACAGACTGAAAAAATTTTTGTGGCATAATGCTCCTCATCGGACACACGACTTCCAGGTCTAACTAAAATTTGTTATGAAGCCTGGTGAGTGGCCCTTTAGCAACAAAAAAAGAAACTTGTATTGGCAAACATCTGTGATTTTAGCTAATGCTCAAAATTTGAACTGAAAACCATTCAAACAAAAAGTACCTGGTCATTGATGGGTAGTTTTGCCTCCAGGAACGCCTGGCAAAGTTGCAGGCTGCCAAACCGAGCAGCCAAGTGCAGGCAGCTCATACCATCTTCACCCTAAACAAGACACATTGCCAATTAAGCTCACCAATGAGCTACAGCTTCGAATTGGGTCCAGTGTATGTGATTGAAATGGAACAAAACGAAATAGAATCAAAAACAAGTGCCAAATTATTTTTCAAAAATCTGTTTTTAATCGAGAGCTCTCAACGAGAAGTAGGTGTAAAGGAAAAGAAGGGAGGTTTATCTGGTAGGTGTAACCGATCTGTTACCTCAACAGGAGTTGGGAAACAGGTTGAAAAGAGGAGAAAGAGACATAAAATAGAAACAGAAAAAAACGCACACACGAACACACAAGCCGGGAATTCCAGTCAGACTAATTCTGATAGACCAGTCTAATAAAGAAGGCACTGTGGCTCTTGCACCGACTTCTTCTGTGTGTTGTTTTAAATAAAGACAATAAAAATGTAGCATGGCAGGCCAAAGAATCAAGTGCAGTAAACCAGTAGTTATGCTCTGGCCTTATGCTAATAGTAGTATCACAAAGCGATATAAATTTAGCGTAAGATTAGTGCCACAAAAAAGCATTAAAATTAAAAATAAAACCTGCATTTCATACAGTTACAAAAGAGCTGTATTTCAATGATTACAATTATGCACAATGAAATTGCAGTTACTTGCAGTGAAACTGCAGTCAAGATAAATTTGAGAGCCTGTGACACTTCCTCTTCAGAAAAAAAATTACTTGAGAACACACAATTTTTTAGAAAATTCTCTCTTTTACTTGTGATATCATTCCTAATAATCTAACTCTTAACTTTTTAGATATCACGACTAAATTCTAATGAGAAACTGGCAGAAAAATCTATTTAATTAGGCCAAGGCCACAGCACATATCGAAGTGCATGTGGATAAGAAGGAAGGCATCCTATATAATAAAGCAGAGCACTAAGGCAAAGCACTTCACAAGCTGCTAACACCAATACCACATGGTGATAAGTTGATATACAGTAGAGCTTCACTGATACGTTCCTGCTTTATACGATTTCCCTGCTCCTATGCTCACAATCATGAAAACTAAAGATAACCCGATTCAGATTGTACATTATCCTAGATCATATATTTATTTTCTGTGCTTTTTTTTGGAAACGTATCAACGAGGTTCTACTCCAAACGGTACTGACACAAAAACTTTGGCCACCTGTTTTTCTGCACCAATGTGTTGTTGGGGGCCTGTTAGTCATAACACAACACATTGTTTGCTGTAGCAGGTGACAGACAATTAAATTACAGGCCCCTCATTATCGACTAGTTTCAGTTTTGGTTTGAGAGAGCTCCAAAAGCTAGAAGCTGCCGAGTGCAACTATCCCCACCTAGTGTGTGCAGCTCTTGACCACGTCAGCACACAGAACCGTGACACACTTCCGCATGGCCCGCATCAAGAATTGCTTTCGAATAGGAAACAGGACTGCAGTGTTTATAAACACAGAACTTTCAAAGTCTGTGCCACGGCGAAGCACTCGCGACAAGCCTCCGAAAAATGTAGACTGCGAAAACACATGTGGCAAAAAAAAAAAAAAAATGGCGGCTAACACATCATCATAGCTTATTTTATTGACTGCAGCATAGTGATGCGAGGGAAGCAGGGAGTCCCCAAAGGGTCCCCTACAAGGGTGTTAATAGCATGATGGAGTTGAGTGCCCCTGCAAACTTCAAAATTAATTTAAAATACCTTCCAAGTTATATCCGCTGTTGATATTTTGCAGATGATATACGAATGTTCACAGGAATCGAACCCACTAGGCTATCTCCCCCGCGAAATTTTGAGTCCAGTACCCCTTTAAGATAGAACACTTGAGAAGCGTGTTTCTTCTTGAATGGGCACTGACGCAAGAGTTTTCAGTTGTCATTTTTCTGCGTCAAATGAAAAACCAAGCTAACAACAGCCTAGATGTACTGTTAACTATGAGCACATCTTAAAAATTACAGCGTTTGTAAATGTTTCGGTTTCTATTGTACCCTGACATCACAACACTGCATCAGTTTTTGTCACATGCTCGGCCCATAATGTCGTGACGTTTCCACAGCAGTTCCGCATTGTGGCTCCGTTGGTGACACAGAAACGGCATTTTGAACGTTCTGGTGATACAAGAGCAGCCATTTTACAAGCCTTGGTACCTGAAGTCATCACAGCTAGCCAGACTTCTGCGTGAAGTCACCAGATTTAGTAATGAAGCCTGACGTCTAGCTGGTGCCTATGTCTGTAGGTGCACCATGTGAAGAAATGACTTTAATATCACAATAAGTTATCTCATCAGCATTTGTGAGCTTTAAGGTTACTCCGAGCCGTCCCTACATATAGGAGATTTGTGTGGCAGAGTAAACTCACCTACGAAAAATGGTGTCAGCACCCCTAAGTTTTTCGTCTTTGCTAGTATATCTATCCTAAACGTGAACCATCTCACCCAAGCAGCAGTTTTAGCAAGGTTCTACTGTAACATAAAAGCTGCAGAAATTGCAGTGTTTGCGTGTTTTTGGAGCGTACTTCATGCATGCGAATGGCAGCGTCACCCACTTGTACCACCATAACTCCGCCGAGCAGATATTTGCAGATGACTCTGATAAAGTTGTCTGCGATGAGTCAAAATGGCACGTTCTTTGCCACCGGCCACCTCACCTTCGTTCCTCTGATGCTTATCCGTTAAGACATTCGCTGCAACTGCGCTAAAGTCATTATTATTGGTCACCAAAAGGTGCAAAACCTTTTGCAACCCATTGTGGTTTCGGTGAGTTAAGCGTTGCAGTGAACTGTCACGTGACAAAAAGTTATCGCTTCTTGCATGTATGACTTTTTTCATTCGAAGGCATTGTTTGGTTAATCGATGGCAGTAGTAGATGCCGAGAATGGCAGTCAAAAAGAAGGCAGCAGTCATCATGCTGCCTTTTACTTCTTTTTCATTTATTTGTCCTTCCTTACGTTCTGCGGTGAAGAAACGCCTGGAAAGTGAGCGACTTCACTTGCAACATCCGAAATCTGCGTGCGGTGCTTGCCACAGTCTAAGAAGTATTTGTCGCAAGTAAACTGGAGCGGGGCACTAGCGAGCACGCGCCTATCACATGCTTTAGAATGCCTGTTTTAACCTTTTTTTCACTTCGTATGCACCATATTTTTACGGCAACCATGCCGAAAGTGTTCGTTGTAAAAGTAGGAGGCATTAAGAAATGTTCGCTGGAGTGGACGCAGTTTCGAAAGGTAGCATAGGAAAAACATAAGTACACAAAAATACGATTCTTATAACTGTTAGATCGTTATATCCGCGATCATTAAACGGGCCCTGCAACACTTTTTGAACTTTTTGAACATGGTCAGAAAACGCTGCCGATCAGTAGTAGAGGCACCCGACAACACGCGAGCCAAATATTATAGCGCGGCACACGGCATGGAATTCACAATAAATTATCAAAGTCAGCTAAAAATAGCTTTCTCTCCTCTTGACAAATCACGGAATCAAGCCCAGTAAGCCCATCTATCAGCCATTGGCTGATTTGAACATGGCGTGCTCGGTTGTTACAGAGGTCACCCTCAAAAGGCCATCACTTGTCCACGCGATCGCACTGAAAAAGATGCGTATTCGAAGAAAAAAAAAGAAAAAACTGCTAAAAGTCATGAGGCATGAGTGATGTTTTTTGTTTGCTCCTCCCCTCCCTCCCTGGTCAGCTTCCAGCACTTTCATTGGGACGAGAGAAGAGAGAATGTCATTGCAGCATGTGACAAATCTTTGTAACTTCGTTCGTACTGGACAGATCCTTAAAATTTTTGCGGCATTCAATTTGTGAGGTAATACGCTTTACCTGTGAATTAATTCCATGGTTACTTAAAGTAGCCTCCAATAAATACTTAGGCTTAACGTTAACAAGTACCTTATCCTAGAATTCGCACATAAATAACATCTGCTATGCCGCTTTACATAAATTATGCCTTCTCCGCCACAAGCTCAAGACTGCTACGCCTAGTGTTAAACTCCTCTCCTACTTTTCCTTAATTAGGCCTAAACTTGAGCACGCCTCCATAGTTTGGGATCCCCACACAAAAATTAACGTTCAAAACCTAGAAAGAATTCAAAGAAAAGCAGTAAGATTCAAATATAGTAAACTTATGTCAACCGACTCCCCCACTGCATTACTAACGGCAAATGGTATAGAACTATTACAAATTCGAAGAAAAAAAAGTCGGCTACAGTTTCTTTCAGACATAGTGAACCACAGGCTACCCTTAGACACCGCAGCATACGTATCTCCCTTGTTAAGCAGACCCACTCGACACCACTATCCTCATTCCCTAACGCCAATCTTCGCAAAGACTGATACTTTTCGGTACTCCTACTTCCCACAAACAATAGATGATTGGAATAAACTAACCGAAGCATTTCCTCAACGCCCTTGACCATTTGTGTAAATACTCTTCTTCCATGACTTCCTTGAATTGTATTATCACCTTGTTGTTCAATTGTTACTTTTTTTTTTAAAGTCGTAACCCCTCTGTCTTATAGCAAAGAAATTGTGTAAAGAACGCTTTGCAACCTTGTTTCATTCTGTTATTCAGTGTGTTTCATGTATGCTCACCCTGCTTGAAATTTTTGTCCGCAGTATTCTATAAATAAATAAATAATTAAATAAATAAAAAAGTGTTTCAGGGCCCTTTTAAAGCGGATTCGACTGTATACTTTCATAATGTAACTGAAATAAAGTGTTGCAAGTACATCCCCATACTGCTTACTGTAATTACTACAATCATTCATGATATAAAAGAGTGCTATCACACAAAAACTTTCAATTTCACTGGTTATAAAATAATTTGTGATATCACAATATTTAGTAAATATTCTGATTGAACTTGATTTCATTGATTGATTGATTGATTTGTGGGGTTTAACGTCCCAAAACCATGATATGATTACGAGAGATGCTGTAGTGGAGGGCTCCGAAAATTTCGACCACCTGGTGTTCAACGTGCACCCAAATCTGAGCACATGGGCCTACAACATTTCCGCCTTCAT